ACAGAATATGTAGAATATGGATCACTAAACATGGAATTCAAGGTAAAGATTTAGAAAATTTAAGATCTATCACCGAGTACATTGTAGGTGTTTATTTTTCTTGTCGGTTTAAGAAAGTTGTACATTCTTGGATTGAAGGTCCTAAACATGTACTTTACCAATTGCAGCAACTTAAATTTCAAAAAGAAGATGTCATTAAAATAGTATCACCCTCTATTCAAAGATCAGCTTGGTTTTGTTTCAGTGAGTGCATACTACAAACATTGTTGTGTTCTTATACTGAAGAGGATAGAAGTGCAGCTATTAATAAGATAAAAGATATTAGAGGTACTGGAAATGAAGATCTACAAAAAGGTGATTCCTCTCCTAGACCAAGAAAAACGCCTGTTCTGAACTCTAATGCTGAAAAATTGGTAGACCTAATATCAAGAGAGTCACCGGTTTATGAACCAGTCTTAACTACTTCTCTAATAACTTCTGAAATTAATGTGTTTTTATCAAATCCTATGCAGGTGCCAATTTGGCCATGTCATGGACAATCTGTTGAACGTTGTATAAAGCAAGTTACAGAAGCTTCAAGTAGAGTGTACACTCATGAAATGAGAGAAGGATTTGTCCGAACTCAAGAGGCGGGTAGAAAGTTAATGCTTAAAAATAATAGTAAACAAAACCTTGAAAGTTTGACACAAATGTTTTTGTATTAAATTTATAATATTTATTGAAATAATTCGGGTTTTTTTTTTTTAATATCTTGCTGTATTTCTAGCATCAATACAAATAAAATTATTACGCGATGTTAAGGCAAACTGTATTTAAAATACATTGAAAAATATTTTAACATTTATAAATTAATCTCAATCTAATTTCAGTTTTAAATTGATATGCATATTAAAAATTAATTTCAAAGTCTAATTTTGAAATAAGAAATATTTCATTTATATTTTATACAAATTCTTAAAGAAAGTATTATAATATCTAAAATTAGTTTTAATCAACATTTATATTTCAACTGATATTTATCAAACAAAGTAGAAAAAAAGCTTATTAATTTCTTAGTAAAAACCGGGTCTTTTTGAGAAACCAGGTCAAAATTTTATTGAAATATAAAAAATTAAATCACCTAAGCAAAAAAAAATTTAATTCAATTTTTAAAAACATATTTGGATTCTCCATCAAATTTTGCAACTTTTAGTAACTCCGTAATTTTTTTCTCGAAAAAAATCAAAAATCAACACACCCTAATGTGTCATCTCAGTTTCGCATCAAAATCCAGCATTCAATTAAGAATTGAGCTCATCACCTTTATCATTTCATTCAGTCATCCAGATACTTGGATGAAGTTAACCGCAACATCATTAATTAGTGATTTTTCAGAATGCTTGCTTTGCATATCCAGAAAATGTTCTGCTCGTGATGCTGATTGATAAGAGAGCACATATCAAAACCCTTGACATTCAAAGAGCCATAAAGCATGAGAATTAGGTAAGACAGTTAGAGACGGTTGGACAATGGAGACAGGTAGACCTTGAAAATCGCAAGTTTAATATTTCGAAAATAAACTTTGAAGCAAGCGACTTTGTCAAACTAATTAACTGGTTGTTCAGCAAAGTAACTACACCAATTTTAAATGATGTGACAATAGAATATTTAAAAACTATGCTGGAAAAACCAATACTAATTAATTGTGCTTTTACTAAGATCCCATACCACACATAAGCTGTAGAAAGAACAGTAAAATTGGTTACAGGCCCCAAAGAAAGTATATGGTCTAAATAACGGGATGGATTCATTTGCTCCACTCTGAAAAAAGCCATGCCTGATTTTAGATGCAAAAGACAGTACAAAACCTAAAGACCTAACACTTATTTCTTATCTTATATATTATAGTAATCTTATATATTATAGTATTCGAGTACATGACAGTTTCGGTTTATGTTTAATAAATGTTAGTTAGTTTATGAAAAACAATGTGTTTGTCAACTTTTTAGGTAAATTTTTTAAAGCTCTTTGCCAGAACAAAACATATTGTTAGTGGGGCGTTAAATTCTACACAGTAGTTAACCTTACATAAGTGCAACTTTTGCACACTACTGCAAAGTGCTGTGACATTTAAAAATTTTTTCAAACATAAAAAAAAGTTGAAGACTTTACAAAATATTTGAAATTTCACATCCCTTACAGAAGAAATTATTCTATGGTGGTAAAATTTTAAACTGATGTTACCTATGTGTCGATTCTTCCGTGCTACCCTAATGCAATATAATTATACTTGTTTAGAGTTTACCCGTCTATAAAACGTTGAATTAATACAATCGGTATAAAAAGGTTATATAATAATTTTTTTTCAATATAACATAATCTTCAGTAGCCAAATGGTTTAGGGCGTTGCTCTCTGTACCGACATCCTGACAATTTTTTGGGTTCCACCGTCAAACATGATAAATTTTTTTTGTTTTTTAAACTTTTCATTTTTATAAATAGAAAAACAAAATAGTTTAAGTATTTTTAAATGTTTTTTTATCTTGGGTTACTAAATAAATATTTTTTCCATTGTTGGTTTTTTACTAATCAATACTGATTATATATAATATTATCAATAATTTACTTACATTTTTTTTTACCATAATCTTACAATAATCTTTTTAATTGTGTCACATAAATCTGACATCATTAAAAAATGAAATTACCTTAAAAAAAGTGGTTAGCTAATTTTAAAATGTCATTGTTTTTGGAGCATTCGTTCTTTAAGCACTTTAATAACTACAAAAAATAATTTATGCCTAATTAAACTTTCGGTTATGTATTTCATTAACATTTTTTTCCTCCTTTTGTTTTCTCGATGCTTTTGATTTTTATAAATACTTTCATACCGGGTCGTTCCAAGCTGGCTCAGGGCCCTGCGGCGAAACTAAGTTGTAAAGCTCCAAAATCTAACTGTCATCTATACAATCGCATTGTTAAGACTTTGCAGGGGCGGATGTAGCATTTTTTGATGTTTGAGATAACTAACTTATAGACATGGAGGAAACTCCTAATATTTATATGATTATACTTATATCAGACGAAAATGCTTTGCAAAAAATTGTGACGATAGGAGCCTGGGTACAAAAAAACTCTAAAATTTTAGCTACACCTGCCCCAAACGTGAGAGCAGCAAGTTTATAAAATATTTCTTTTACTATTCTCAACCAAATTTGCATTCATCAATTAATTTTAAAATTCATACAATTTTTTCTTAGCGTTCAACCATTGTTTTTTTATTATTTGGTCATAGCTTTAAAGCGCAAAGTAATTCTATTTAGTCGACAGTCGAGTTATTTAATAGTTGTAACAACACTAGAATTAAGGTCGTTTCCACGCCTACCGTGAGTCAACACTTATCGTAGGTTTTACCGCAGCCGCTCGATGTGGCAGTTTTTAAGCCAATGAAAGCAAAGTGGAAATCTTTTTGCCGCAATGGTGCATTGGCCATGAAGGACAAGAAATAAAAAATGAAAATGTACCAGAAGCATTAAATTCTTTTATAATCAATCCTTCTTTAAAAAATAATGTGAAAAGTAGTTTAAAAATACCAGAATTTGTCCATTTGATGTGCTTATAGTATTGACTACAAAAAAAATTGCTCAAAAATTATCTGGGGTAACTGTTGCGCCGGCTGCTTATTTAGAAGAGAACCATTTAAGTGTGATTTTATCAGCTTCCTCTTCCATAATCTTTATTGAAAAGTGCATTGATTTAAGTATTTTATAGCAGTTTAAAATAGCTGACGAATATTTAGGTTGGAAGGGTGAACTTGAATACCTCCAATTGTATCATTTTTGGAAAAGAGGTAAAAGTATGGTATTATCTGAAGCATATAAGACCATTCAGATAATGTGGCAGCAAATTCAAAACATCTGAAGCATTTAAGACCATACCTTTACCTGATGAAATACAACAGGGTATAAATAAAAATCTATCAACAACTTGTAATTTAGAAAATGTGCAAGGTATAACCAATATGAAAATGCCTGATTACAATAACGCAGCTGTAATAAAACCAAAACTAGCTTCTTTCAGTTTAAAAATAGCAGCAGAAATCATTATTCAAATTGAAAGTGTTCATCTGAAATGTGGCAGTAAATTCAGAAGGCAAAAGTGCAAGAAAAGTCACAAATAAACGATGAAAAATTAAAAAAGAAACAATTAGCTGCAGATAAAAAGTCATATAAAATTAGAGAAAGAAAAATTAATAAAGCAATAATTGGCAATAGAGAAAAAGTTATTAAATGAAAAAACTCAAAAAGAAAGAGAAAACATGAAAATTTTGAAAAAAAAAAGTTGCAAAAGAAAAAGAAAGCCTTGCAACTAAGTCAGAAAAAGAGTTCCATTTAAATATGGATATTAATTTTAAAATAAGACTCAGATAGTTATGATGAAACTCTATCCTTTCAAGTTTAAGAACTTAAAGGATATGTACCAAAGTAATGGAATTGCTTTAAAATCTTTAGTTTTAATTTATAATAATGTTTTTATTACTATATAATTAATGTTTATTTAACAGTCTTTTTTTTTTATTTATACACATTATTTATACAATATTCAAAAGATTGCAGAGATCTAGATGGCAAATAGAACATTGTTTCCATACTCCAAAACTGTTTAATAAGTGCATATTTTTTATTAGGCAAACCTCCGTACTTATAAAATCTTTATTTGTCCAAATAAACATTGTATAAATTTGTATTTACATGAAAACAATTTGACAAACCCTGATTGGACCGGCCAAACTTAATTCATTAGAATTACTTTTGGAATGTCGAAATATTAAATTTTAAAAATAAAGCTGATCATTGACCATGTTAACCGTTTAACTATTAAACATAGAAGTATAAAAATAAACTGTAGTAGTAGTATATTTATGTTTGATTTTTATTTAAATTATCTTTAAGTATTATGCTTAAGTTTAGCTTTATTGTTATTTTTTACCTTATGCACTTTTTTAAATACAATTTTTCTAGAAAGGTATTCTTGTCCCTGTTTACTATCATTTTGTGAGAACCACTATAAAGAAACCTTTTGTTCACTTGTATATGAATCGTGTGGAAATAAAAACACTTCAACACTTTCATCTACAGCTTTATCAGCATAACCTTCTGGAATTGTGGCAATTTTATTTAACATAATATTATGTTGAATTTTTAAATTTGTTTTGTTAATATCTTGAAGAACTTTTGTTTCCGAATTGTTATTTGTATTTATTGATACGCAAGTTTTTTGTAAAATTTTTTGTCAGACAAAATGTTGTAATCAGTATAAATTTTTTTGGAATTTTTGTTTTTGTTTTTTTAAGTTAAAATTTTGTAATCAGTATATTTGATATAATGGCTAATGTCTACCTCTCAGGTATTGTCTAATTCTCAGCTGACTTATCTACTTTATGGCAAGAAAACCGTCAGTTGATGTATGTAATTCAAAACCAAACCCAACTGTGTTCTCGTTTATTTTGCGATACGGATCTGCAACTGCTTTATGATAAATTTACTTCAACGCAACTTTGGTTTCTGTGTATGCATAAATATTGATCACCAAAAAATAAAAGTTAATTCGTGTGTTATGAAGATCTTAAAGACAAATTTATAAATCGTAGGAAAACGCGTATGTTTTAAACCCATATGTTTTATTTAATCAGCTACATGTCCAAATATTTGCAATAATAAAAAGTATTCTGAATCATGCAAATATTTTTATAAAGTTCTACTGAATACGATAAATACTAAAATAGAAAAAAGTTGTTGTAATGTACTTTGTATTTTTGTATCTTGAATGCATAAAGGTTGAAAAGAAGTATCACGGATAGAACAATTTACATATCTACTTTACAGCAAAAAAACCGTCAGTTGATGCATCTAGTTTAAAACAAGTAACCCAATCTGCGTTCTTGTTTATTTCAAACTGTGTTCTCGTTTATTCCGAACTGTGTTCTTGTTTAATTTGCGACACGGATCTGCAACAGTTTGATGACAAATTTTCTGCAAAGCAACTTTGGTTTCTCTGTATGCACAAATATAGATCACCAAAAAAAAAGATTAATTCATGAATTATCAAGATTTTAAAGACAAATTTATGTCGTGGGAAAATGCGTATGGTCCATGTTTTGTTAAACTAGCTACATATCCAAACATTTGCTATATTAATAAAAATTCTGAATCACGCAAAATTATTATTTTTATAAAGTTCTACTAAATCCGATTAATACTGTATATGAAAAGGTTGTTGTGACGTTGTTTGTACTAAAGTCTATCTTAAATAAATGTGTAAAGGTTAAAAAGAGGTATCACGGATAGAACAATTTACTTGAAAACTGCACGTGTTTAACGCAACATTTTTTTGTTTTTTTATTTTTTTTATTTTTATATATTAGAATGTTTTAATACAATAAAAGGGTAAATGTTAAGCTTTTGTTGTGTTTTTTTTTTAGTAATGTTGAGTAAAACGCGTAACAAGCTGAGTTAAAACCTTAAAAATCTGAGCACAACATGTCGAACAAAAAATATGTAATACTTAAACACTTGGAACAATTATTTTGTGAAGATTTTTTTATAAGTTCTTTTATTTATGCAAAGGACATTTGTTTCGGATTTTGCTCAGCGAATATTTTAAAATGAATTTTATATTATTTTTACTTGTTTCTGAATTGCTTCAGTCAATGCTGATAAAGGTTAGTTGACGGCAATTTTTTTTTTTTTTTTTAATTTGTAAATTTATTTGCCTTCAATAAAAAAAAAACTTACAATTACAGAATAGCTTTATTAGAAATAAAATCTGCAGAACTTCCAGAAGATCATATGATCTTATCATGATCTAATCAATACCTTTACAATATCAAATATAATAGTAACAATAAAATCAAATTGACCAATAAAAATAAATCAACATAAACTATATATAACTGTGCATTTAAAATATAAATATACTGGATAAAATATATTAAACAAAAGAACTAAAAACAAGAAAAAATATTTTCTGTTGAAAGGATAAGTTCTTTTAATTTTCGTTTGAAAGAAATTAAAATTATATACCATGTCATTTATCTTTATATAAATCATTTTTAATAAATTATAAATAACCATATATATGTAAAAATCTTATTTTTACATGTATATTGTATGAATATGTATCCTATTTTACATGTATATTAAATTTTATTTGATTAAAACAGAAACAATGTGCTGTGGGAAGCATTGTGGTGAAGAAATCCGCTAAAAACGGAACTCTATATTTGTGGAATTTCTTTTAAGCGGCCGTGGCCGTGGCGCAGTGGTTAGAGCGCTTGTTTTAGAACCAGAAGATCAAGGTTCGAAACGAACTCTGGAGATATTTTCGCGTCACGGTAAGGAAAGGAGGCGTGAAAAGTCTGTGACAAGACCGTTAGCTCTTCTTGGGGCACCTAAATAACAAAATAAAAAAAAGTTCATTTCAAAGAAAAATTTGGCAAAACTATTTTATTCCATAAATAAAGACTGCAATAAGAAATAATTAGTTTTCAAATTTAGTTTGGCAGAAAGGTTCTCCGTTGGAGATTTTTTCCATTGTGAAAATTCTTCATGAGTTTTACATTTTAAAGGTTTATAAATACATCAAGAGATAAATGATCTTTGCATATAAACATGAAACATAAAATATTATAAACACTTAGTTGGTATATACATTTACGATTTTCATTTCTCTCAGAAACGGTTTTGAACTTGAAAAACGATTTACAAAATTAATTCAGATAACGTTTACGTTTAGTTGTGTGCGCCCTTCCCCATACAATAATTGCATAATTTAAATAGCAGTGGATAAACGAATAATATAGTTGTTTTAATTGTTGTTTATTTAATATTTGTCAAACTTTGTATATAATTCTAATACTTTTAACAACTTTCAAGGAGATATTATCCATTTATTAACTCCAGGTTAAATTTTTGTATACAAGAACTGCAAGAAGTTTTCTAACTTTTTCCTTTTTAGTATTGTATTATCAGTAAAAAAGTCGAGCACTTGTACTTGGTCAACGTTTTTTTCTGGATATTGGGTAAAAAAGTGTCCATTTTGTTTTATCAATATTGTGGGACAATCAGTTTTTCTCAAACCAATATGAGATTTTATTTAGTTCTTGTGTCATTATTAAAAAGTGTATTTATATTTTCATGGAATTGAAATAGGTTTGTCTCGCTCGCAAAATTTACAGTGGTTAAGTTAGAAGCTTTGTTAAGGTCGTTTTAAAATAGTGTGTCCATTATGTGACGCCTTGTCTCTACTAAAAAATTTCAAAGTTTTAGTAGATGTGGCTCAATTGTTTGAGCTTTTCTGCGGTGCTTTATGACAAGACCGTTAGAACTTCTTGGAGCACCCTAATAACCTAAAGAAAAAACTGTAACAAAAAAATTAGAAACTTTAAAGAAGTCAAAAGTATTTTAATAACATGATCATTTTCAAGTTTAATCAAAATCCAAACGAAGTTTTATATTTTGATGCTTTTGAGTTTAGTAGCTAAAAATAACTTTAAATAAATTTCCGTAGTATTGATGAGTTTAAGGTGGTAGTACCCCAAGAAACAGACTAAAACTTTTTTTTTTCAAAATTTTATTTTTAACAATTTTCATTTTTTATCATGTCTACTCTTATAAAAATTAAAAAAAAATTAAAAAAAAAAAAATCAAAAAGCCTAAAATGTCCTTAACAGATTTGGTACTGAAAAATTAACTGCCTTACCAACAGCCCTTAGAGATACATTTCTTACTATATCTTGAAAAATAAAGTTCCAATTTATATGCTTTTTTTGTGTGCTTATGACTAAATTGTTCCTTAAGAACTCTCGTTGGTTTTTGATCTGATATCCATAAATTGAAACCTCATATTTGTATCTGTAATATAATTATAGAAAAATAATAGATAATTATCCTTTTATAAAATTTTCTTTGATCGATGGATATTTTTGATTAGTTGTCTGATAAATGGGTTCAAAAAAAAGATATGCTAAATCAAGAGCAAAGAAAAGAAAGTTTCATAAATTAAAAAAAGATTCTCTAAATAATTCAAATGATTTACAACAAACTGTTTTGTCTCCACATTTACCAAGCAATTTAAGTTGATTGGCATCTGGAAAAAAAATAAACTTGTCTCTTTTAGATGTAGAAAACTTTGATTATATAGAAAAAGAGTGTAATATAATTATGAACTCAAATTTATTTTCAAGTTTGGAAGATGCACAGAATGTTATTCGTCAATCAACATTATACATGACATTAGTTATACTACGAGTAAGATGAATTATTGCATGTTCAGTAGAGTTATTTCTTTTAAAACCCTATTGATTTATGTAAAGTATATTATTAACAACAAGATGATTAGATATTTGGTTGAACATAATTCTTTCTAAAACTTTTGAAAAATCAGAAAGGATAGATATTAGTCGATAATTACTGACTTTTAATGGGTCACCGCCTTTAAATATAGGTGTTATTTTGGCTATTTTTAATTGATCGGGGAAAATTCCTTGATTTATAAAACATTTAAAAACTTTAAAAAGAATATGTTTTATGGTATCGTATGAATCTATGACTATATTACAATTTATATTATAAGGACCAACTGCTTTTTTAGTTTTAAGCATTTTAAAAGTACTTTTGGATTCTGAACAAGATACGTTAAATTTATTTAGACTAGAGATGAATAGAAAAACTTTTGTTACAATTTTAAGGCCTGGTGGAGGTAAACATATCCTGAGGTTTTGTCTGTGATTTGGTTATTACAATTAGCATTTTCTTCGTTATTACACAACAGTGTTCGTGATTACCCTAATGTGTGTTTGGAACTACCCCACGTACGTAGGGTAATCCGAACATCAACGGTTTTATTTTTGCTCTAAATTTTTAGTTTATAATAAGATATAAAAGTTTACTTTTAGGGGTTTGTGACTGAATAGTTAGACTAAATAATAAGCAATAAATATGATCGACATCGATAACTGGTGTCTTTAATTCGTATTCCCTCTGTGTTCGCCAATACCCCACTCTCCTCTTATGGATAACTAGAAAGAAAAAAAAGAACTACTTAAACATTTTAAATGTTAAAATGTTAAAGTAGTTTTGATGGTTTGTTGAAATTTTTTTTTCTTTACTTGATAGAGGGAAAGAAGTTGAATAAGTAAACCAAACTTTGGGATTGTCGTATTGCTGTATTTTAAAAAATGCAAACAAAATCCACGTCAATATACCAAATTCTGAACTCATTAATAGAAAAAAAAAATTGTTCTGACAAATCCGTTATAAAAAACAAAATCAGCACTGTGATCAAGAGAGGTTAACTCACTAACACAAGCTGTAATATGTAATAATCTGGCTGAATCGGGGTTTCATGTGTCTTAATAGTTTGTTTCTAGGCAACATAAAGTAATGAAAGTTACAAGAAATCGTTTATCGCTGGTTCCACAAGAAAGAAACAATGCAAGATCTCTTCATTTTTATTCATAATTATCCAAGAGAGATTCAACAAATATTGGCATCAAAGTTAGTTTTTTGGATGAAAAGGGGTTCAATGTCCACACATCATCTTATTATGGATATGCTCTAATAAACACAAAAGCATAAACAGTTCCAGATAACAGAAGACAAAATATAAGTTTGATGGCAGCCATTTCAATTACTGGAATAATTGGATACGAGTTACAAGGTTATGGGGAAATATAATTTAAGTTATGCGGAAATATGAGTGATACCTTAGTATCACTCATGCATAAATGTATAATAAAAAGTTTTAAATTATATGATTATTCTAGAACTCTACTTTTAAAATAAAATACCGAAAAATATCAAAACAAAGTACAAAAAATTTAATCACATATGACAATTAATTACATAAAATGCATAAAATGCTTAATTAACTTTGCTGTCCAAAGATATAGTTGAAAATGGAGCTTATACTCAAATATGTATCGTGGGCAATATTTATGAAATTTCTTTTCAGATATTACAAATAAAACGAAAACCACTTTTGATCGATTTAAAAAAGATTCTAAACGATTGTTCTTAATTATAGATCTCAATATGATAGATTTTAAATCTTTCTTTTAAATATAGTAAAGCTCAAATAAAATCAAGATCTTAAAAATAAAAAATTCATTTAAAAGATGTTATTGTTACAACCCACCATTACAAAGTTTATTAATGATATTGCTCTCCTAATATATATATATATATGTATATATCTCTTTTTTTCAACTTTTTTTTTATTAAAAGTATATAATCGTTTTTTTGCAACTGCAGCTGCCTTCTTTTTCTTTTCGCAACTGCAGATTATGTAAGCATTTTAGCAATTACTAATTACTACTTTGTATATTTACGCCAATATAATATTTAAAATCACGATTATAAAAAAATGGGGCTCGGTGATAAGATAGCCATTACTTTC